TATTTAGATTTTAATTTATTGTGATTATTCTTTATTCCTTTCTATCTATCTAAATCTCACAAATGGGGTAGGTTACAGGAACCTTTCATCAACAGATTGCTTTAGTCCTTGGCTTTACTCTCACTGATTGGTTTTGCACACACTTGTAAATGTACGGCTATTTGCAAAACAGAAGCGTTGGGATCATTATCATATTAAATAAAACGCGCGTTTTTGTACCGTAAAAAACGCGTGTTTTTTGGAAAACCGCCGTCTTTAAACGGGTCCTGAATAGTGGACACTTTAGGCTTTCGATATCCATCCTGTGCATCAAATTTATGCTCGTGCTCAAGTGGGTCATTCGTGCGTCGTTTGTGTGTGTGGAGGATGGGACTCTGAAGTGAAGTCTTGAAGGAAAAGGCAAGATTTTTTCCGGTTTTGTGTATTTCGATTCTAGCGCACTCGAGCTGGTTTCTTCCATTCTTTATCGCTACCCTAAACTAATTCTTTTTTACGGGTGCAGCTATATGTTTTATTATTAAAAGTGGGCCATTTAATTATATTTTTTTCCTTCAAAATGTGCAGAGGATCTCAAGTGCTGTGTTTAATTTATTTAAAGACAAGTAGGTCTGTGTATTATTTGTAATTCTGCTTATAGGAGTTCTTTGTTTCTTATTTAGAGTGTTAACAGTTGAAGATAATGTAAATACATAATAAATGCCAAAAAAAACTAGTTTTGTCTATAATTATAACATAAATACAACTTTATAAGCTATCAAGCTATGAAATATGTTTTGCGGCTCCAGACAAACTTTTTTTGTGAAAAAGGCAGCAAAAGGCTGTGGGTCTGTTACTCGGTCTATTATAGTTTACATTACATATCCGCACTCTAGAAAGATGGGCATATAAATATAGAATGATAAAGTAAACCAAATGTTACTTTTCCTCAAAACCAACATCCAGAATCGTATATCTTTCATATTTATAAGTATTGCAGTGGGTTCTGCAGGTTCTCCACTCAAATGTAAGACTTTTTAAGACCTTTTTAAGACCACTTTGAAGAATTTAAGACCCTATTTCACGGCCAAGAAAAGTAATGAAGGAAAATTGCTATGAAAGAGAAATACGTCCCATAATTAACTTACAAAATAAATGTTAATGTTTCAACATAAAAACAAATGACTGAACATAAAAGCATAAGCAGTACAGAACTGTGTTAGCCAAAAGGTGTGTGTTGTGTGTGTGTTTCTGTGTGCTTGTGTGTGGTTCGGCTGTGCAATAATCGTATTTTAATCGCCGACTACGATTTGCCTGCACAATTACAAAACAGCATAATCGAAAAAACAATTAATTTAGCTTTGCTAGGTTTGACAGTGACAACATATTTAATCTAATTAATTTGAGTCTAATTTAATTTATTTATCATATTATATATGTTTAGTACTTGGTGGAAGTGGCGCTAAATAATGTGGCTTGATCTTGGTTTTTGGTATTTATTATTTTGATATTATTTATTTAAATATATCATTTATTTAAATTAGATTTTTGTATTGCTTTTTTCAGTTGAATTATACCGTTCAGGTAATCAACAGTTAAAAGATAATGTTCAAGATTATTATTTGTTTTAAAGTTCAATAAATGGATGTTTTCAAAAGTTAAGAAATAATCCTATTTAATAATCGTGATAATCAATTATTGACCAAAAATAAGTGATTATGATTTTGCCACAATCGAAGCAGCGTGTGTGTGTGGGTGGTGTGGTGTGTGTGTGGTGTGTGTGTGTGTGTGTGTGTGTGTGTGTGTGTCTGTGTGGTGTGTGTGTGTGGTGTGTGTGTGTGTTGTGTGGTGTGTGTGTGTGTGTGTGTGTGTGTGTGTGTGTGTGTGTGTGTGTGTGTATGAGAGAGAGTAACAAGAGCTATATTCAGAGCTCTGCTGCCTTGGCTACAATCTTTCATCATTGCTGTTGTATGATTGGTGTTTAGCTATGGTATTTTAGCGTCTACAGCACCTCCGCTTTTAGGGTTGACGTAGACCCAAACGTCGCCCGGAGGTCCCCCGGTGTTGTTGCGGGAGCTGCTGCACTAGCTAACGCTAAACTACCTAACGCTACATTAGTAAAACAAACACTGATTTCTTTTGCAAAAGGTGTAGCGGGCTTCAAACACGTTCCCCTCCACTGGTTTCAACCAAGCACTAAATTCGATGTTTTCCAACCAAATACGGTTCAACTTACACTTCCCCATATTTATTTGTAAGTAGATTCGAAGATACATGAGTTTCTGACTGCTGCTAGCTGAAGCTTGGTTGCTAGGTTACTAGCTGGGTGTTCTGCGATAAGAGGCCGGGGGAAACAAAGTCAGTGATTACTGGTTCCATGTTGATTTATTTCAATACAAGTTGTTGGGGGGAACTGAAAGGCACTTACCGTACTGGTTACTTTGCAGCCCGGACATTTTCCCCAAAACACATTTTAGACGCGATCGCAACACAGAAGTACCTTTCAAATCCGATCATTTTTAAGACCTTCTAAATCATATTTAAGACCTTTCTTATTTTTTTGGTCATATTTAAGACCTTTTTAAGGCTTTAAATTCAGATTATCAAATTTAAGACTTTTTAAGACCCCGCGGGAACCATATTTTGCCTGGTATTATAGAGGACAGCAAAATATGGCGTTACAGAGGGATTGTTGTAACAAAATGTACTACTATCTGGCCCCATAATTATAAGACCTCAGATGTGCTGATATGTCAAAATGTTTTACATCCATTTGCAGCATCCCATCCTTATGCTTATTGGTTATTGTGTATCTACACACGCAGTTGCAGTGTGCCTAACGAATGTGATGTTTAGTTCTGTAGAGAGTAATACCTCATGCAGTTATTGCTGTGATCCTAGATTCTTGAAAAGGGGAACTCCTCTCCACAGATGACACATTTCTGATTTGGTCCAAATAACTAGTTGTCGCCTTCTGATCGACATGCCTGTAAACAAAATAGTTTTAAACTACATCACAAGCGAACAATTATGTTACTGTAAGTCACAGGTTCTATTTTTAATATTGTTACTAGCACTATAGAAGTGAGGAACTTACAGGGTCCAAATTCAGGGTTCTTTGCATTGGTCTAATGAAAACCGTAGCATGGCCAATCGGGGTCTGAGGGTCCTTCAAATATCTGAAAGTAACCCTCATTGGGACAGGGGATCACAATCAAGTGGCGACTTCTCGTAGTGCCAGATATTTTTAGCAACTCGAAACCGCCACCGTCTGCAGTTATAGGCATCCATCAAGAATTTGAGGAATTCATTTGAATCTGTATGACTGCCTAGAAATAGATGATACACATAAGAGATCTAACATAAAGATAATGTTATGATTGTAAGGGTAACTCAATATATTTATATATCACAAATGTACATTTACCATAAAATATACACAGAAAAGGAAAGAGCAGTTTGATAATCCGTCATTCTAATGACTGACAGAACCTTGTAAATGTGAGGCCGTTTTTCCCCTAAGCCAGCAGCAGCGAGTCTTTCTTTGGCGTATCGGTTGGGGACTAAGGCTGCATTCTTGTCCTCAAGGCAACAGAATGAATGTGGTATAGAATTCAGGTGCGCAGGACCAGAAAGGTTTGCCGCCTTGCCGTCCTCCTCACCTCCCATGTAGGGCCAAAACAGTCTTGAAAACTTCGGCTAGGATCAAGTTAAGAAGATAAGCAATATTGACGGTGGCAAGGAATTATGATTCAACGAGAATCCAGGGGGAAATGTTGGTTAGCATTAGCATCACACACTATAAATTATAATGATCCGTTCAAGCTGGTGGACAGAAACTGAATCAAATAACTTGTCATTGGCGATATAAAACTTAGTACACTGATCGGATTTGCATTAAAATAGTTTGATGCAAAGACCTACCGTCCACTGGGTTGTCTGGGAGTCCCGTTATGTAACGGAGGAGGAGACGAAACTGGCGCGTTAGCGGTCCTTGGTGCAGGTGCTGCACAAATCAATAACCAACCCAGTTCTCATTGGCATTTCGTGTTTCACACCAACACGATTTTTAATCTACTGATCGTGTTTCACACACCGATTTTTCCCCTTTTTTTCCATTGTTGCCACAGCACGATTTTAAAAAGCAATATGTATTTCTATTGGTATTTCTCACGGGCATTACGTGTTATCGGAGACGGAAGGCTGTGTGGTCATAAAAAAACATGGTTCTTACTATAGCGTACTTTATTGTTATGTCAGACAACGAAGCAGTTTTTTTGCAATTATTAGGCTATTTACAACATTAAGGCTGTAACCCAATAAGTACACAGAATGTACAGATGAGACTTGACACGAATATAATACACAGCTTCTACCTGGATCCAACAGCAGCACTGGCGAATCCGCCCTGGTCAGCACTGAGGTATGAAAACGGCCACCACATTGAACATACAGAAACATATACATAAATAGAATAAAGGTAGGGCACGTAAGATGGAGAAACCAGCTGAGGCGCTAAGAATATATGAAAATAACGACGTGATTCCTGTTTATTTTCGACTTCTTACAGAATCCTATTTAACATACAACGTAGGTGCATCATCATGAGGTTTCCATATGAATTTATGCACTTATTTATTATTTGTGTATCCATTTCAACATTATATTATTTCTGTTATTTATTTCGTCATTTATTTATTCCTGTATTTATTTATTTACGTATGTATTTATTATTCCTGTATTTCTTTCATACATGTTATTTACACATTTATTTATTTATTTATTTAATCACGTAAGTCCATGTTCCGTCCTCCATAACACCATCAGACGGAGGAATTGCAGCGGGTTCGACTTGTCTTTCCTAGTAGCCTGTAGCCCCAAATCCACGGAGTAACCGTTTCCACGGTCAGGTGTTTATGGTATGCTGCAGCCACAGCACGGAGTTAACTCAAATTATACAAACATTGGTTAATTGATTAGAGTAACTGAGTTATTTCATTTTTGCTAAATTGTAGGTATTTTGTATGGGTAACCCGGTACCCGGCATTTCCCGGCTCTCATCTGGAACCGGAGTTCGGTTCCCACCTAGCCTGCCCCCAGGTCAAGATCTACCGTGGCTCAAGGCCTTCAGCAGAGCTATCACCACCAAGGACCAGAGACCAGTATCACTACAGCTCCTCCACCTCCCATCTGTGGCTGCCACCAGGTCAACGATACACCTTAGCACAGAAGGCTCCACCACAGCCATCACCTGTCACCCAGCCAGCAAGGAGGTCTCGTGGAGGTCCGTATAGCACTTGTACCCCCACCTACACACGCAGCCAAGACCTACCTGCGTCTTGGAGACAGACAAAGACCTTGACAACTGTTCTTGACATGTTATAATGGAATAGTTGGTTGAAAGTTCTGATGTTCAATATTGTAATAGTGAGATTTTCTCAGTTTCTTATATTTATATAAATGAAAAAAACATTTTTATAATAATTGTTGGTTGGAAAAAAGGTTTGAATGCTCAATTTGTACACATCACATGAACTTGGTATGTAGATATGAAGTCATTATTCCCTGTCCCTGCTGTGGTGAAAAGTAGAGTTGATAAAAACACCTGTTTTACTAAAAATTTCCGAATTTAATTATTTCATTGTAGAATGAATTACACATTTATATACAGTCTACATTCAAATATTTCACTACTTGTGGTGATCCTAGACTTTTGGGACCAATCTAGAAACACAATTGGATGAAGTTAGTAAATTTGTGTTTTCACAAGAACTTATTGAAGATTTCCGAAAATCGGATGTCAAATTT